ATAATACTACGACGCATTGCTCATTCATCAACAGCCTTTAACATCGAACGACAACAAAATCACACACATTGAGGTCAAATTATCCAGCTCATATGGTCGATAAACATAAATATATGCTTAATTGAACAACCATCTGAAAATGCACCAACATATAAAGAGGCACCTCTCCACAGCCTTATCTCCCTACGCCTCAATCAATTCCAAGTTTAAGAGCCATGGCGGCTCACAAGATCACAACAACAATGGCGGCGATCATTGTTTGGCCTTCCTGTCGCCTTTCACCGGTAAGCACCTGCAAAACACACAAGAAAGAACATGCATATCTTAATCTCTTGGATGATGCATGTCATGATGGATGTTGCCTCTCGTCCTCATCATGTAATTTAACAACGCCAGACACTCTTTATTGAAAATAGTCAAAGCAGCCGAACCTACGTGCGGCACCCACCCCTGTGCACCTTGCCCTGTGCCGGACATCTGTGTTGGAAACAACAAAGACGCTTGTTGCGCCTGGTGCATCAGCGAGAAGTATGACACGGGGGCTTGCTACGACGACCCAAAAATGTTGCGCATCTGCATGTGTGAGTCGCCATGCTAGGCGCATGGTGGCCGGACGCCGAAGCAAGATTAGGTGGGTTATATGCGGGGTGAATTTGGTTTGGTTTTGCATAAAGATGAGATGAGATAGTCCAAGAAATGCCAAGAATGCTAGCGTGTACGCGTTGCCCTTGCTCGGATTTCCTTCTAATCGTGAAGATGTTCCCTATTCATCTATTCCTCGATCTATTCCTAAAAAAAGTACGTATCTATTCCTCGATCTCGCGTGCTCATGGCCGAACCAAACAAACCGGAGGCAGCCGTCGTTTCTTGTTTCCCTTCCTCTCGCGGCAAGCCGATGGTGGGGATGGATGAGGGAGCGACGTTGATGCTGGACTTCAAAGGTGGTGGCCCGTGCAGTTCTATCCGACAACGGCCATGGTGGCAGCCGGGGATCTGACGTTGCAGATGCAGGTCACAATTTGCGTGCCGGCGAACTACGCGGCTCTCCGGTCTCCAGGTGATGCAAATCGTCAAGCGCCTCCTATCTCACGTCAGTCTAAATCCCATCATGGCGATTGCCTGATCAGGTGGTCAACGCTGCTCCGATCAATCCGAAGTAACATCAGACTAGCTATCTACTTCCTATATCTATATTGCTAATTGAGCAATTTATCTATGTTCACATGCATGATACGTAGGTTGCAGTGTTCAAGCTTTTGACGTAATTTGATTTTTGGTTTTTAGCAGTGCGTATTATCATGTCGACCCCATCATAAGTGAAATTTTATGAATGATTGTTAGAAATGATTGAAAGGTAATATGTATACATTATTTGATAAGAATGTCGCTTTTGGTGCATTTAAGCGATAATATATGTTCTCCTATAATGTTTATGTGAAGGGGCCCCGACTTTTGGTTTCACCCCGGGCCCCTGAAATCTCAGGACCGGCCCTGCCCGAGCATTTGCGCGGCTAGATTTTCTATGTGTTTTTCATACCAATGAGATGTTGAGTTAGTCGTACAAAAATATAGAAAAACATAGTCATATACACAATGTGGAAACTCATTTTTCATCATTTGTCATTGTTTTCAGTAAGTTGTATATGGACATGGAATTCTTTTTATTTTATTTACTAACCTATGTGGCTATTATCCTAGATATGCCTTTCAAATAAAACATCATAGTCAATATGTATATCATGAGGAAATACTTTTTGCAGGGTCACGCGGAAATACCTTTTTTTGGTTTTATTGCGCATATTAAGTTGTTGGCAAAAGATTTGGTATGTGGGAACAAAACAACATAGCACTGTGCGCCGCACATGTCATGCCAATCTACATATATTCTGGTTGGATTCTTTCTATATAAGAAAAATATAAGGCCCTTGCAAGAATTGACCAAACAAAGATAGCTATACGGATGAGAATACAATACATGCATTAATCCGACGTCGATGGTCTAATCAACTGGCTAATCTTTTCTTTTTGATAGGTTTTGAGATTGCTTGATTATCGCTTGTGCCGAGCACCCGAGCGGCAACTGGCTATCCTTGTTTATCCTTGTTTTGTGAGCCAATTTATTTGTAACGTGTGAACATGGCATTGGCTTCCATGGAGTATAGGAGCACACGCTAAGCATATTACCTTTTTTTTTGCGAAAAGTTAAGCATATTGCTAGCTCAATCGAATAGGCCACATCCCATAGAAGTATCGCTTTCTCACATTTTTTTTTTCTTTTGCGCGGAACAGTAGTTCATGAATTTTTTGTGAGATTGTGGTTGTTGGGCATGCTGTCACGACGTGCTGAATCTCAAGCCTGTCATGTCGTCCGATGGTGGATTTTACCGGTGCGAAGGGCGCACTAACCTGCTAGTTTTTTTAACACAGTACAGACGCAAACGCTCATATACACACGTACACACTCATCTCTATGTATGCACACACGCATACCCTACCCCGATGAGTACCTTTGAAAGACTGAGCCGACATATCATCTTGAAATTTACGAAGTCATCATAGCCACCTCGTCGTCGACAGGAACGTCTCCTCCCACTGAATGCACATCGCCGAAAATTATGAAATAAGGGCCTGTTTGGGACTGCTCCGCTTCACCAAAGTCGGTTTCGCTCCACTAAATTCACTTTGGAGCAGTTTCATTCAGAAGTTGTAGCACTACCAAAGAGAATGTTTGGCTTCCATCTAGCTCCAGCTTCAAAAATGAGTAATTTGGTGAAAAGGATCTATTTGATTGGTCGAGGGGGAGAAACGAAGGGGTATCCACTTACTGGTGGCAGTGGTGAGTAATTTCCACCCAACTCCAGCTTCTAGAGTTTTTTAAAACACCCCCTGAAGAGCTTCATAAAAAAACTAGGAGTTGTGCCCCAGATTCTATTTTTCTGTAGAGCGACATATCTTGGAGCTATCCCGTTTGGTTTGTGTTTTCTGAAGCGGTGCTGAATTTTAAGGAGTAGAGCAATCCCAAACAGGCTCTAAATCCAGGAATAAATACGACTACCAGGACTTGAACCCTGATGGGCCGAGGATATCATCGTCTCTCTAATCACCTAATCACAGGTTGGTTCGCCTAGCCTGCTAGCTAGCAAGACGTGGATGGATGCACATGCGCGAGAGGTTGCCTTCTGCCAGCTTTCATGTTCGCGCTTCAAATTAAAAATTATCATATGATGTATAGATGGAACTTTTACTCATGTAGTTTCCTTCTGTTTTTAATTTGAATTCCGTATATACAACATAAGCTAACTTTATATTCACCTAATATTTTTTATTCACCTAATAAAAAATGAAAGTGCTAATTTCCTTGCACACCCTGATTTCTAAGTCATATATAATAATTGTATTCCATGTCCACCTAATAACTGATTCATTATATATAGTGCCGTTGGAGACTTGGAGTTCAAAGAAAAACAAAATGGTTTATCTTTTTTTCCTAAAAAAGGCGATTTATTGTATTTATTCAACTATTAATAGTTATATTATGGTAGGTTAATCTAAAAACTCTAATTTAGATACACCATTGTATATTGTAATCGCGATGATCAACAGTTGAGCTAATTAATTTGCCGACATGGACGAACCTGGTTGAACCTACGAGGTTCTCACATCCATTTAAAGTTTCGATGAAACCCGTTCAGCCCGCCTAGTTTCTGGACTAATTACTTTGATGAACTCTTGTCGAGTTTGTTATTAGAATCCGGGCCCATGCACGTATGAGCTACTCGTACATCATACCATGCCTTTTGCATGCAAACGAACTCATGCATGTAAAGTAGTGAAATTGAAGATTATTTTTGGTTAAATGATGATTTGAAGATCCAATCTAACGCTTACCTACGTAGTGCCGTTGAATATGTTGGCGCCCGTACGAATTCCTTTTGCCAATACGCTGGCTTTGCCCAGTGGCGAATCCAGAAAGAAGATGTAGGGTGGACTCAAAGTTAACCGCATAAAAAATAAAACGTTCAATTGAAGAAAAACAACATCATCTCCTGGTACATTTGTCCAAATGTGCTACAACTTTCTCAGAATACTACTGGAAACATGTAGTATCTACTGGAATTTTCCTGAATTTTTTTAAAAATATTAAATTTTGAACTAAATTTTGAAATCGCTTAGCTAAATAGCCATTATCTCCTAGGCCATTTGTCCAAATGTGCTCAAACTTTCCCAGAATGCTACTGGAAACATGTACTCCCTCCATTGCATAATGTAGTGCTTTCTCTATCCTCGTGCTTTAACTTTGACCATAAATTTAACTACCAAGACCGATTGCGGCGGGAGCAAAAGTTATATCAGTGAATTCGTATTCGAAAGAAGTTTTTAATTCTGTAACTTTTTCTCCCGCCGCAGTCGGTCTCGTTTATTAAATTTATGGTCAAAGTTCGATCTCGGGAAGCGCGGGCGCACTATATTTTGGAATGGAGGGAGTAGTATTTACTGGAAATTTGTTGGAATTTTTCAAAAATATTGACTTTGAACTAAATATTTGGTATTGTGAATTTAAATAGAGAACATTTGCCAAACCAGTGCTCAAAATAACATGAAATTTTTCAACAAAAATACTAGTAACATGTTTAGCCATACTAGAAAGGTTAATACAATTCACACACCAAAGCATCAAAGTACTAGAGAAGCAACAACAAAAGACAATGAGATGTTGCTTCTTACTAAGTGATATTGTAGTCACAGAACACCTCCTCACCAAAATATAGAAATGTATGCCCAAGTCACCAACCACAAGCCATATGTCCAAAATCGCACATTTGTTAGCAAGACAACAATAAGTCATGCACAACCAGTACTAGGTATTAAATTATTAACACTGACATCTATACCTCTAAGAAATCACATTGAACTCATGAGGCAAATGTCCCTTCCGATCCCTCATTTTTTGGAATTGTATCATGATCTGGTCATCATGAATGCTTCTAAATATCTCTTTATCACAGTAGCAAACCATGAAATTCCAACATATCAACCAAAGCTTCTTTAATTCCAGCAGATGTACAATCTGTGATGTGCTTAATGGCAAGGAATCTCTCTTGGAGCACCCCGTGATCATCTAGAAATCTACGTGCAGCAAGAAATCATATTAGTAAACATTACTAGTACAATATAAAAACACTAAAAGATGGTATGTGTTACCTCACAATCACCGCCATTTGCTCCTTTATTGAGCAATCTCTAGCCTCATCAATAAGTATTGAGAATTTCTTATCTCCAATGTCATTCTTAATAACTTTGGTTACCTCCATTGCACAAGCAGCAGCAAGGTCCTTTTGGATGTCAGAACAAATCATTTGTGCATTTCCAGCCCCCTTATCAAATGCCTCCTTCACATCTTCCTTCTTGTTCTTGTACCAGTCCAACAACTCTCTAAAATTGCCCTTATTGATGGAAGTGGAGGATTCATCATGCCCACGAAAAGCTTCACCTTGTGCTATGAGATACCTTGCACAATCCAATGATGCAGTTAGGCGGATTTTATAAGATATCTCAGACTCCTTGCTGTACACAGGGAATTTGGTAGCCACACTTGCTTGTTGATTGTTGAAATCATCGCAATCTCCCCTAGCAATGTTGTGGTAACTAGATTGACCACCAACGTGCTTTTCAAAACTAGCTAGACCTGTTTTCCAACGAGTGTAGCCATCTTTCATGAAAACATCATTGCCAAATCTAATGGCCTGGGATGGTTTCTTGAAAAGAAAGCAATGAAAGCAAAACGCAGCCTCCTTATCCACACTGTATTCCAACCAATCAAACTTGTCGAGCCACGCACGTTGAAAGGATCTCCAAATTTTACCATCCTTTGTGTTCTTGAATGTATGCCCAACAGCTTTGTTTCGTTTGTTCAACAAATAAGCTCTTCGCACATCACTTCTTCTAATTTCAGGGGCATAATCTTCTATAGGAATTCTAAGTCCTAGATCAGCAATAATTTGACTTGGATGAAACTCTAGTATAGGCATTCTTGGTTGGTTTGTACTTTCATCAAATGTGGTGTCATTTCTATCATCCCTTGGGGTTGAGGGATCAGTTCTCTCATTAGTTGAAGGAGGAACTATGGTCACTACAATCAGGGGAAGGGGATCTGGGTTCACATTCTCTGGGATCAGTGGACTGGCTGGGATAGGATCAGGTTCGACACGAGGAGTGATTGAACTACTTGCAAAAAAACTGTTTATGCTCATATTTTTTCTCTTCATTTCTGTAAATCTGCAAATAGAACAATCCAGAACAAGGCAATTCAGTAGTACTTTCAACATCTCAATAAATATCATTCACTAAAATGAAGAAGAACATTTCTCTATATCATGAACAATAAAATCATTTGCAGTACATTTGGTCAAACAACCAATTAGCAGAAGAAGAACAATAACATTTCTCTATATCTGCGACTCGTTGGCTGCTGGCGAGTCCTTACCAATGCCCGCGATGGGTTGGCTGTTGGCGCGTCTCGTGGGCGCGTGCGCGCCTCGCTGCTGGCGCGGAGCGGCGGACTAGGGAGCCGGGGTCGGAGCAGCACGCAGGCAGGGCGCAGCCGCGATGGGTTGGCTGTTGGCGGCTTGGCGCGGCTCGTCGGTGGGCGCGTGAGCACCTCGCTTCTGGCGCGGAGCTCCGGCAGTCCGCCGCCCCCGCCGGCTCCCTGGTCCGCCGCTCCCGCAAGCTCCCTTCTCGGCTGGTCCGCCGCCGGCGCTAGGTCTGGTCGCGGGAGTGTGAGACGGCTTGGTCTCGTCCCTGGATGGCTTGTTCGCTGCGTGTTGGCATTGGGCTGTTGGTTGTGTCTCCTTGTTGGGCTGCTGGGCTGAGACGAATAGCAGTAGTAAAAAAAAAAAATCTTTTTTTCTGAGGGTAGGCTACAGCCTGTTGAAGCCTGGCTACTGGACTCGCCACTGGCTTTGCCGATGTGTATGGATTCCTTTTTTTAATGACTATATGACTCCTTTTGCCTATACGCTGGCCTTGCTGATGGAATATGTGCCTGTATGGACTCTCCCTTGCACGCTGCCTTGCCAAGCTTAGGTCAACAAATCACTGCCATTCATTTATCATAACTTTATAATTTTAAACCTTCACTGTTCGTTTGCTATCATTTTAATAATATAATAGATGTTGTTGTGGAGAAAAAAAAATTAACAGAGTTGTGGAGAATAATTAGTATACATGGGTATTTCTATGAAACGAACATGTTAGCCCACCAATGTATACTACGAAACGTCGTTGCCTAGAAATTTGGTGGTCTTATTGGCTCAGACACCCATTTAACACAAGCGGATCCAATCCCTAAGAAAACATGAGAGAAGTCAAAAGAAAACTGTAAATCAAGACCTAAATCTTATATTTCACTTTCAACACAAATTCAATGTGTGCCATGTGTCATTCATCAGGACAGGTCTCACCTGCTAACCGTGAGACCTGGTCTTGTATAATTTTTTTTCGTGCTGGGAGATGTGAATGAGAGATTGCGATTACAGATACTAGATAAATTAGGAAACTACATCAATGAGTACATTTTCACGTTTATTTGATGCTTGAATCAACAAAATGGTAAAATGTTCACCCTGGAGCACTGTGGTCAAACTTGACCGAAGAGACTTGTTTGGGAGTGTTGCAGTTTTTCACACTTGTATTTTATTTGTCACAACAAATGTCGTCAAATACAAGTGTAATTTCATTCCCCCACAACACTATTGGAGTGTTCTTTGGATAGATTGTATTATCTCTGGCAGCTTACACATCCACATCTATGAACTTCCGCTAGGAAGTCACTAAATTTTCTGACAGTAAATATTAAATTTATTTTTAGATAACAGGCTCTTGCCCGACTTTAACGAACAGAAGCCCTCATGGTTTCATAACACCAATAAATATTAAACTAAACAGTGCACTAAATTTATGGCAAAATATACATCGCACACGACTTAAACTGCAATATTTTTAAGCACACAATGCTCTTGTAAGATATGGAAATGATCAGAACAATTTCCTAAAGGTCAGGTCAATTAATCCGTGTTATAATTAACCAATTAATAAAGGTTGTGTGAACACTGAAAATACAGACCCACCGGCCGACTTATGGTTGTGTTTGGCCGGACAACAGCTTGCGGCCTCGTCGATGACGTATCCATAGAGTTTTGACTGAAAATTAAATTTTGTGTTAGGAGATACAAAAGAAAGGTTGTGAACAAAGATTACAGATAAAGTATGATTTCACTATTTGTGTTTTCCAAAAAATCACCAAAAATATAATATAAAGGAAAGTTTGTGTTTGGTTTTCCAAAAGAATCACCAAATATATCTGTGGAGTTTTAAATACAAACTAGCAGGGGGGAGGGTTTTCCATGCACTTGTGCGATGAATTGTTTGTTTTGAATTAGAGAACACCATGTTTCTGATCTTATCATGTGAGAAATTATTTTGTTTTTAACTTCATCAATTTTTGCCTATCATGGACTTATACTTAATTTTCACACTACATGTTTGGACTTCATTCCAAACTCATTACACATGCAAAGTGTAAACTTAAGTGTGTTACTACGAAAGATAAAACAACCCTTGTCATCCAAAATTACACTTTCGTACTAACATGCACCCCCTCCCCCCTCTCCCCCACACACTCCTTATCCCTTAGTGTTTGTACTTGTCATTGATAACCCACAAGTATAGAGGATCACAACAGTTTTCGAGGGTAGAGTATTCAATCCAATATTATAGATTCGACACAAGGGGAGTCAAAGAATATTTGAAGGTATTAGCAGCTGAGTTGTAAATTCAACCACACCTAGAGATTAATTATCTGCAGTAACGTGATCAGTAGCAAAGTAATATGATAGTATTTATAGTAGTGACGGTAGCAATGGTAACGGTAACCGTGATAGAAATAATTTTGTAGCGAGTGCAACAGTAACGATAACAGCAGTAACTTAGCAAGAACAATATAAGATAAATTCGTAGGCATTGGATCGGTGACTTGCTGGATGATATTCATCATGTGACAGTCATAACATAGGGCAATACGACACTAGCTCCAGTTTATCAATATAATGTAGGCATGTATTTCGTAAATAGTCATACATGCTTATGGAAAGAACTTGCATGACATCTTTTGTCCTACCCTCCCGTGGCAGCGGGGTCCACTTGGAAAGTAAGGTATATTAAGGCCTCCTTTTAATAGAGAACCAGAACAAAGCATTAAGACTCAGTGAATACATGAACTCCTCAAACTACGGTCATCACCGGGAGTGGTCCCGACTATTGTCACTCCGGGGTTGCCGAATCATAACACGTAGTAGGTGACTATAACTTACAAGATTGGATCTAGAACATGGATATAATGGTGATAACATAAACGGTTCAGATCTAAAATCATGGCACCCGGGCCCAAAGTGACAAGCATTAAGCATGGAAAAGTCACAGGAACATCAATCTTAGAACATAGTGGATACTAGGGATCAAGCCCTAACAAAACTAACTCGATTACATGATGAATCTCATCCAACTCCTCACTGACCAGCGATCCTACGAAGGAACTACTCACTCCCGGTGGGGAGCATCATGGAATTGGTGATGGACAAGGGTTGGTGATGATGAAGAACGAAGATCCCCCTCTCCGGAGCCCCAAATGGACTCCAGATCTGGCCTCCCGATGAAGAACAGGAGGTGACGGCGGCTCTGTCTCGTGGATCCAGATAATTCTTTCTCCCTGATTTTTTTGAATATGTGATTTTATAGTGTCAGGGTTGAGATCTGCAGGGCCACTAGGTGGGGACAACCCACCTGGGCACGCCAGCAGGGGGGCTGGTGGGTTGTGCCCACCCAGGTGCCCCCTCCGGTGGATCTTGGCTCCAGAAATTCTCTTTATTGATATAAAAAATCCTCGCAAAGTTTCGTTCCATTCCGAGAACTTTTATTTCTGCATAAAAACAACACGATGGTAGTTCTGCTAAAAACAACGTCAGTCCGGGGTTAGTTTCATTGAAATCATGCAAATTAGAGTCCAAAATAAGAGGAAAAGCGTTAGGAAAAGTAGATACATTGGAGATGTATTAACTCCCCCAAGCTTAAACCTTTGCTTGTCCTCAAGCAATTCAGTTGATAAACTGAAAGTGAAAAAGAAAAACTTTTACGAACTCTTTTGCTCTTGTTTGCATAAATAAGCTTAAACAACACCCAGGTTTTCAGCCAACATTATAACTAACCATGCCAACAATAACTCTTAAAAATTATATTAACTCATATCAATGACATAATCAGCTAGCAAGCAATAATAAAATATCTCAAACGGCAACATGTTGTCAAAACAACCATGATATAATATGACAATAATGGTATCTCGCTAGCCCTTTCTAAGACCGCAAAACATAAATGCAGAGCACCTCCAAAGTTCAAGCAGCGACTAAACATTGTAATTCATGGTAGAAAAGATCCAGTCATGATGCACCCAACATTAGCTACACACAATGCATAAGCATGACAACAGTGCTATCAGGTTTTGACGCTTATTTTAGAAGGTGATGACACATCATATAAGTAAATAGATAGTCCTTTCATAGAGGGAAGCAGTGATTTGCAGAGGTGCCAGAGCTCAAGTTTTAAAACAGAGGTAAATGATATTTTGAGATATGCACCCTTCTCATTTACTTCACGACCATCAGTTATCAATATATGCCATGCTAAGCATGCTAGTGGTGGTTCCCAAGCGATAAAAGGAAAGGTTTTGACTCCATTGAGAGTTTTTGTTTGATTATTTGTAAGCTTTTTCTATTTGCAGTTTGGGACTGGGCATCCCTATTACCACCCTTTTCTCGTGCGATGGCGAGTGAATAAACACTCGACCTGAGAATAACCCGCTTAGCATGGAAGATACCAACCACCTCCTGTCATTCCATGAATGATCCAGGCACACAAAAATGATATATATTAGAAGTTTTTAGAGGTGGCACATGCAAATTTCCTTAGGATGGCAGGGTAATACCGCATATAGGCAGGTATGGTGGACTCATCTAGAATAACTTGGGTTCAAGGTTTTTGATGTACAAGCAGAATTCCCACTTAGTACAGGCTAAGGCTAGCAATTAGATTGAGAAGCGGCCAGCTGGAGAGCAACAATGGTCATGAACATGCATTATGCATAAGTAACATTGGACACTAGCATGAGTAGGATATGAACACCATGAACATAAATATCATAGAGGCTATGTTGGTTTTGATTGAACTACATGCATGAAGATGTGCCAAGTCAAGTCACTCGAAAATTCAGAGGAGGATACCATATCATCAT